GTACTCTGTGTCTGACTCAACCACTGGAGCTGCAGAGCCCGGGAAAGATAGGATGGGCCTGCGGCGATTGTATCCCGACAGGCTGAGCACCAGAGCCCACCAGCTTCTTCCAGTCCCCTCCGTTGCTGACTTTTCACCTCTTGGCCGCCTCCCTTTGCACTCGCTTCCTGCCAGCGCTGCCTGTGGTACCGAAGGTTCCTATTGTGTGGAGTCTCTTCCAAGCAAGAATCCCACCCCAGCCCCAAGGAGCCGTGGTGCCGTGCTTTGGCAGTGCCTCCACCGCAAGCCTGGCCCCATGCTTGGCCCCATGAAGCGGTCCTGCAGCCAGGAGGAAAGGCCCCAAGTCCCGGGGAGCTTTCAGGAAGACCCCTACAGGAAATGCATTTTTTCCAACTGCTAGGCTTGAACCCGAGGGTTTCACACGGAGCTGCTTCCCCAGCTCTTTTTATTGTTGTGAGACAGGCTCTGGCTAGGTCTCTAAGTTGCCCGGTCTGGGCTGAGCTCAGGGTCTTCCTGACTCAGCCCCAGGAACCGAGGGGCGTGCAGCACGCCCCCTCCACGGATGTGCGCCCTGTGGAGGTGCCGTCTCCCCCTTCCCTGCACCCGGAATGTGAGTGGGACAGCTGGCGTGGCAGCGTCAAACTGTACCTGGAGGAGATCCAAGAGGCCAACTCTAGGCCACAGGGGTAGAAAGGGGGATGCCTGGGCACCTGGTGACGACGCGCCCTTGTTAGCCTTGGGTCACTGATTTCTGAACTATTTTACACAAAATAAATAGAGATCATTTTCTCCTTGAAGCTGTGCTCAGAGGCGATAGAGGCACTGAGTGAAGCTGCAACCTCCAGGGTAAAGCGAGGGTCTGTGGTTTTGTGGCTGTGGACAGTGCGGGACACGCAGACGCGGCAGGAGCGCACTTGTGCTGGGCAGCGTCTGAGCACACAGTAAACGCCACCTCCAGAGAGAACAGGTTTGCTTGTTTGCTTGTTTAAAATAGGGTCTCGTAGTGCAGCCTGGCCTGGAGCTCACGGAGATGCTCCTGCCTCGGCTTCCTGAGTGCTGGGCTCACACTGCAGCCCACTTGAGAACGGTGCTTTAGTGTGGGGCTGGGGAGCTCAGTCCATGTTGGCCTGGTTGAGGCCGTGGGCCTGCAGTGGGCAGGAGAGCCCTTCACCCTGCGGCCAGAGAGAAAACAGGGCCACTGTCACCTTCAAGGGCTCGCTCTTGCTCGGCCACTCCTCCTAGAGGACATGTAGCCCCCCAAAGTGCCAGGCTGGGGCCCCCACCTCCAACGGGGCCTTTGGGGGACCTCACCACACTGCCCGGGGTACGCACAGGGTCAGTTTCCTGCCTGGGCCTGTGCGGTGTGGCAGCAAGGACTGTGTCCCCATCTCGGGTGCCCACGTCTGATGTTCAAGCTTGCAGACTGTGACAGCAGGAGACTGTGTTTGTCACCAACAGGTCTGCAGATCCATGTTGATTCTTTAGAATATTTCTATTGATCAATTATTAACTTCAATTGTATGAGTTTTACTAAGCAATGAGGGCTTAACAGGAAAATACCACAAAATGAAGTACTGAGTTTTAAATATTATTTATAAAAAGCATCAATATTTTCAATATAAACTGGGTTTTGGTGTATAAAATCTAAAAAAGAACATCAGAAATAAATTCCTATGTGAGCTACAATGAAAATACCAATAGCACGCGACAAAACTTAATCTTCAGTCGTCACACCTGGGGCAGTCGCCTAGCGCAGCCGCACGCTCCGTACGCACGTGTCGCGCACGCTGACTGGGCTCTGCTTCCCTGGCCTTTTCGTAGGGCATACTTGACATCGCAGCCTTCCTGTTTGGTCAGGAGCTTTTTATTATACTATACAGCATGTAGCTAACAGGAACATGATACATCAATACAGATAAAGCATTAAATGCTTAAGATGCGCATTTAGAATGGACATCAACTATGTACTTACAAAACTTAAAACATCTCAGAAATAAACTTTTTTTTTTTTTATATTTAGTACAGGACCTACATGGCCTACAGGGTCTCACTACACAGATCAGACTCGTAGTGCTCTGCCTGTGTTCAGCCTCCCAAGAGCTGGGATTACAGGCATGCACCACCACGCCCAGTCTCAATTACCTTTTCAGTGGCCCTTGAGGGCGGGGCCGGCACGGCACGCCGGGGATTGAACCCCGGCCGCTGCGCTCTGCCTGAACAGGCACTTTAGTCCACTGAACTATCTGGCCAGCCCAGAAATAAACTTCTATATAAACTATAATGAAAATACCAATGGAAATCTGCCACAAAAAAATAAGCTTTGCTTCAACTCCTGCACCCACGGCCATCTTCACACAGGACCACTGCACACACCACACACGAGCATCGCTTACCCTGAGAGCATGTGTCTTATGTTCTTGACCTTGGGTGGCACAGTGGACACCTTTTCTGTTTTCCCAGGATCTGCGCCTACCTGTCAGCTCACCACTCTGCTCCACAATTTTTTGCATAGTTCACTGAAGCAGAGACATTCTGTTTTTCCTCTGCTGTAAATGATCTCTTAGAAGCTCCAGTCCCAATCCTCTAAGAAAATTTCTCCATGATGTTTTGCAGTGCGTACTTCCTGTGTAAGCGATAAATTTATGCCACACATGTTTAGGGCCAAGTAAAGCACAGCCACTGGCCCATGCTGTGTGCTTCAAGTGACATCGGGGTCACTGCATAATTTATCAGCACCGTCCACTCCGCCTTCGGTACTGTAGGGAGTTTCCATCTCAGGCGTCCATGTCCTCGAGGTTTCCTTGTCGCTGGCTGTTTTTCTTTGCTGTATACAAGGCCAATGTTACGACTTTGTGAAATCCAAAGATTATACTATACATTCTCTGTTTTGAAATTGCAACATTGTACTTGGAATTCCCGCTCTGTTCCTGGGCACAGTTTCTGCAGTGCGCTGTTAGCAAAGGAGACATCGCTTGGAAACTGGTAGACCAGTTGTCAAATGTCACATTCCAGTTAGTTTGGGAGGGCAGCACGTCTGCCCACAGCATTGATCGGTCCACTGCTATCCGAATGAGGGCCTGATGGCCGAGTTCCAGCCCCAATGTCTAAACTGGAACATAGTAAGTCTTCACATGTGCAAGGGGACGCATTTTTGCGTCACATTTCACCCTCTGCTTTTCCCGCTCTTGCCATCACCACGAGAAGTCTGCTAAGGACAGCAGGCCTGATGCACCCGCGGAGTGAGGCGCCGTAACGAGCTCCCTTTCAGCCAGCCCTTGGTGTGCGCAGAGTGTTCCCTGGCACTTCGGTCTTTGAGCTCTCACAGGCTTGCAGCATCTTGTCTGTTGCAACTCACAACACCGAGGGGCGGTGTGGTGGTCCGGCCCATACCCTGCGCCCACGCCAGCGCCAGCACTATCTTTTTGGACACTGGGCCGTTCCGTTGGGGTGTGAAGCCCCTCCCCAGCGTTCCGCCTGGGCAGACCCGTGCTCGCAGGCCTGCTTTCGTCATCGTCTGAGTCGAGGACCCCGCAGTCCCCATGGCTGTATCAGCTGATTCTTGCTCCATTTCACCGTCACAGGAACTCTGGCTCCCTCGGTCCGCGTCAAGCCCATCTCCTCCGCACCCACACCACTCTTCTGTTGTGAAATCGTGAATTTTACCATAATGGGTCATCTTCATCATCCAGACATGAGTAACCTGATGGGTCACTTTTGACCTCCAGAATTTGCAAAGCTGGTTTTCCTTGCGCCATTGTACTGAATTGGGCTACTACTGGGAAAATCAAAAGAAAACTTAAAAAAAAAAACCAACAAATCCTGGACTGGTGTGGGTCTGTCAGATCCCCTGTCATGCTTGGGTAAACAAACGCAAGACCAGTTAGCCGGAGCTTAAAGGCGGGTCCAACCCCTGTTCCGCCACTTTTGCACACATGCACACTCTTTGCTGTTCTCTACCGAGTGGGTGAACACACAGACTGCCTCCTGCATCCCTCTGGGACAGGTCTTGAGATGTACAGCTGACTACTATTGTGCTAAAGGAGAAAAGTAGGTAAGGGCTGGGCCTCTGAACTCAGTCTTATCCCTGGAGGAAAGAGCGGGGCTCCCGATGGTGATGGGCACCTGGAGGAGGATGTGGAAGACAGTGAGCCCCCTGAGGCACTGGGGAGAGAAGGGGCCTGACTCTGACCTGTGCAGTAGAAAACCCCAGCTCTCGGGCTGCTGCAGGTAGCAGGTCTGAGCTGCAGGTTCCCAGAGGCCCAGGGGAGTGGGGTTCCTTCCCTGCCCAGAGCCACAATCTCCGAATGTGTCCTGCTCTGAGGTGTGTTCCCAGAGCTCTGCTTGGACCCCACCGCGGGGTTCTTCTCCTCTTCTCCCTGGGTGCCCAGCTATGCTGAGGGCTCCAGAGACCTCTGGGCTCCACTGGGCCTCTCCCTGTGGTTCCCAAGTCTATGTGCCCTGCGCTCAGCCTGCACTCCCCTCCTCGGCAGTCTCAGGATCCCGGGACTGGAGAGACCTTGGAATTGACCCTACCCTGTCCCTGATACTAGAACGAAACCAGGATATCCTAGGGACAAAGTCCCTGCGGCTTGTGAATAATGGGGCCAGGTGTCCTCCTCCTAATCTAGTGGGCGTGGACTCCAGTCCCTGGGGAAAGAGGTGGGACATCGCCACCACATTCTCCATGGAAGCCTGGTCATGGCCATCACTGGCCCTCCCTGGAGGAGGCACAGGGCCACCCGCGATCCTGGTCCCCGGACCTGGACCTACAGGCCCCGCCCTATGCTCGCTCGCGCCCACCTGAGACCCCGACCCACGTTTCCTGGCCCCGCCCCCGCCTCACCTCTTTCCAGTCCCCACCCCAGCCCCTCCCCTCCGCTCCCCAAGTCCCCTCCCCTCCTGCCCCTACCCGGGTCCCAGGGGAGACCAGCCTAGCCCTCTCCTTCCCTCCCCCCTCCTTTCCCCCTCCCGTTCCTTCTCCCCTCCCCCACCCTCCCATCTCTGTCCTAGCGGCGGCAGCGGCAGCTCCAACATGCGGCTCTTGTTCCTGGCAGTGCTGCGGGCGCACACCGGCAACGCCGTCACGGCCGAGCGCGTCCGGTAGGTGCGGGCGAACCAGAGCCAAGCATCTGGGGCGGGCGGGCGCGCAAACGGCCGGGGCTCGGGGCGGCGCGGACCCAGGCCCGGCCAGAGCTTCCCCGCCACGGGGACGGGACCCGATGGGGCCTGCCCGGGGTCCCGCGCGCGAGACCCGCCTGCGCCGCTGCCTCCTCCGAAGGGCTGTACCCCCCCCCCCCCCCCCCCCCCCCCCCCCCCCGCAGCGCTGCGCTGGACTGCAGATTCGCGCTCAGCGTTTACCTGCTCGCTTCGGGCTGGAACGTGAGCCAGGGCCTAGGATCGGGGCGACCGCGCATCCCTTCGGGGCCAGAGCCTGGCTTGGCCCGGCCGGTGTGTGTATGTCTCAGCCGTGCAGGAGGGGCTGGCGTGGGTGCGCAGGTGCCTGGACCCCTCTCTCCGGCTGCCCCCTCCCTGTTCCACATCTCCCCTTGCTTCATGAAATTTCCCAATTGCCTTCTGCTCCGCGGCCTGTTTCTTCACCCTTGCCAGGAGCATTGGGGCCTCGCCTACTCCTTCAACTAGAATATGTGACTGTTCTCCTAAAGCTCACAGGAAAACTGGCCAGGAGAGGATAAAGTCAGTCCCTGAAGCTTACCGGACAAATTATAGTTAGGGTTTTGGTTGGGCCTGGGGCCTTTGAGCTGGGCTCCATCCCCAGCCCCTTTTCTTTTTTAATTATAAGACAGGGTCTCGCTGAGTCCATAATGTGCCCAGGCTGGGCTCAACCTTGCAACTGTCCTGCCTCAGCCTCCCAGAATGCTGGGATGATGGGTGTGCACCACCACACGCAGCTTCAGTCCGCTGGATCTTCTAGGAGTTTGTGGTCTGTCAATTCATGCCCTGGGCTGAGCCTAGAGGCACCTCCCCTGGCCCGGGCTCCCTGAGGTAGGTTCGAGGCAATGAAGGAGACTGGTGCTGCTAAGAAGACCCAACAGGAAACCTGATGTCTGCAGCAGGCTCGAGACCCCGGGACCCGGACGCGTGAAGAGGTGGCTTTGGGGTTCAGACCCAAGGAGGCCTCCAGTACCGTGGGGTCCACCCCAGGAAGGGATGATGCTGGAACCAGGAGCGGCCCCAGGTGCTTGGGAAACAGAAGGCAGGGTCTCCGGATGACAGTGACCTTGGGCAGGGTGCTAGCAGTGAGACCCACACTGGGAGAGGGCCCAGCAGGGCACCAGGAGGGGAGACAGATGTGGCTTCCAGCCTTTGGCAATGCTTCCCTGCCTTTAGCCTCTGGCTCTGTGTGCACAAAGGAGCATCCCATGCCTCTGCCCTCAGGATGCCGGACAGGGCTGACAGAAAACAGATCAGTGGGGGGAAGGCACAGCCTGTGACGCAGTGCCTGGAGCATGGGGTCATCGCCCTCATCCCCACAGGTCCTTGTGGATCGCCTTCTGGGGGGCGCGTGGGCACTGGTAGAGAGCTGTGGCCCTCGCAGTGCACACAACCCAGAGGAGCACGGGGCTTGGTACGTGGGTGTCGGCCTGCAGAGCAGGGACGGAGTGTAAGTGACGCTCTCCTGGGTACCGAGTGGAGTGGAATAGGAGATAGTGTAGAGCAGCGTCTGCCCACATCTGTCACCCAGCGAGCATCAGCCTTTCCTCCTGCCAGACACTCAGCTGGCGCTCAGCCCGGGTGGGTCAGAGATGGGCTCTTCAGCCTTGGTGGTGACATCCGTCCAGCAGATGAGGTGACACCAAAGGAGGCCTTCTGCAGCGTCTGCTGCACTGAGTCCCTTCAGCTTGAGACGATTGGCACTGGACAGGTTGGGAGGGGCAAGTTCCGGGCCCCCAGATCCTGTCACAGTCCTAGTCCTCATCTTCCAAGGGTCATGTGTCACTTTGTCCAACCTCAGAGGTGGACTAGCAAGGGAGCCTAGCTGCGGCCCCTCCCGAGAAGACAGGTGTGCTGCACATGGGGTGCTGCACCCTTCACCTGGCCTTGGGGTGCACAGGTGCACCCATCTGGCACCTGGGTGGCAGAACGCTGAGCAGATGAGGTTGGCGTTTGGGCCTCGTGTCCACTCAGGGCCAAGTTTTATCTTTCCTCCCCTCAGGGGGGACTGCTGGGAGAAGGAGAGAAAAAGCTGAAGGTGTTTGAAGACTTGATCTGTCTGGGAAGCTTGGGTTTCCTGAAGGTGTGGATCTCTTGACCACAGGCCTTCAGGGCTATGCTGGGTAGCCGAGCAAGACCCTGTCTCTCTTTTTTTTTTTTTTTTTTTTTTTTTTTTTTCCAGAACCAGGGATTGAACTCAGGCCCGTGCGCTTGCCAGGGAAGCGCTTATTCCACTGAGCCATCTCCCTGGCCCTAAGACCCTGTCTCTTAAGACCTACGTTTTTAAGAGCCTAACCCCTGACACATAAATAGTAGCCCAGAGTTGCAGTGGCTTTCTTGTAATCTGAAGCACAGGGAGAGCTGGGAGCATCTGCGGGGGTCCACCCAAGGCCTGGGCGCAGAGAGGAAGAAACAGCAGCAGCCGGGCTGGGGTTCCCCATCTTAGGGGGTGGCGTGGGTGCAGCAGAATGCACAGTGGCTGACAAGTCGGCAGCGGGTGACCCGAGAGCCCAAGCTGTGAGGCCTGGTGCCTGAATACTCTTTCTGGAGCAGGCTGTGGGCGCCCAAAAGTCAGAGCCTGGGGCGGGTGAGTGTTTTCCTCTCCCATCCAGTTACAGGGCCCCCCTCTCCTCTCCAGGAGGTCGCCACCTCTCACCCCCAAGAGTATTAGAACCTTGCTCCCCAGGACTGGCTCACCAGGTCAAGGCATCTTGAAGTCACTAGGGATTTCTTTTTGGGACTTTGCACTTGCCTGGCAGGTGCTGTACTCATGAGCTATATTTCCAGCTCCCTAATTAGGGGTTTCTAAGAAATGGGATCTACTGGGAAGAGGACGAAGGCCTTGAAGGAGATCCAGGGATCTCTTAGGGGGTGGCGTGGGTGGCCTTGTGCCCATGCACTATGTGGCACCATCCGGCTTGTGGCCACAGCCACCAGAGTGAGGATAGAACTCTGACTGTTTGGGGACTGAATCAGGCCTGAGGGACGTGCAGAGGGCCCGGTGGGAAGGCAGGGGATGGATGGGCTCCTCCGCTCCAATTCCCTGGGGCTGGCAACCCTTACTAGGAGACCAGGACAGTGCGGCTGAGCTGAGCTAGTGGATGCAGAGCAGTCCCTAGCCCCCCGGGTCGGAAACGAAAGCGAGGTAAAGGGTTCAAATGTGCTCTCACGAGGTGAAAAGTAGCGTCAGAAATCTAGAGCGCGAACTTCACTGCAGCGGCCGAGGACAGCAGGGTGGTCTGAGGACAGATGTGACCACCTCCGCCCAGGCTCTGGAGCAGCGAGTGGAAGCCCACAGTTTCAGGGTACAGTGCTGAAGTGTGGGAGGCTGGTCCTCAGGAACCTCGAGGTACTCTTCTGAACCAAGGGCCCCAGTGGCCGCCTCTGTCGCCTGTGGCCATCGAGCCTGTGAGGGGGCCGCCTGTGAACCCCAGTGGCTGAGCTGAGCAGCAGGATCAAAACGCTGGCCCACAAGTGCGAAGATGCTGCTTACTCTCTGTCCACGTCCAGAAAGGGCTTTCTGACCCTCTTGTAAATCAAGCAAACCATGGATATCCACTCGGCGCCTGTGCTCCGTGCTCAGAGCCCGGCCCCTAGATCAGCTCCCGGGGTGCTGGGCAATGCCAAGGTGACAGACGGGAGGCAGCACACGGTCCCCATAGCCAGGGCGGAAAGTTGCCCTTGGGATTCCCCAGGTACTAATGCGTTTCTATTAGCGCATGTTCGCTGTACGTGGTGATCACGGTCATCGTACCACAGATGGCGGCGCCGAGGATGGGAACACGTAGCACCCGGGGGAGGCGCATGGGGGGGGGGCAGGCTCCAGACAAAGAGGAACGGCTACACACGCGTGCTTCTGCACGGGATAAGCAATAATGATCATATTCTAAACAGGCGAGGGTCAGCCGGGTGGCGGAGCCGGACCTCCTGCCCGCCCCTCCCGGGAGGTCCCTGTTCCACCCCGCTGGATCCACGTTACCGAAGCAACTGTGCTTGCACTCTTACTGGTTGATGACGGTCTTGTGCCGGGTCAGGCCACCTTGTGTTGGCCTCACCTCGTGATTTTGCGCTGTGAAGCTTTCTCTGAGAAGTGGGCTCGGGCGCCCCGCTTTCTGGTCCCCTCTGTCCCAGGGGCTGTTTCTCCCCCAACAAAGGTCCCCACTCTTTCCCTCTCTTGTTCCTTAGAATCCATTCTTTGATTTTGGGGAACACGACCTTGGCGTACTGGACATCTACCGGGCTGAGAGTTGTCATATTTCCCTTATATCATTTTTTATATTAGTTTTATTGAGAAATAAATAGCACTGAGACAATTTCAGAACAGGTTAGTAGGACAGTTACAGTAATTAGTACATTGCATATTGTTGTCTTCGTAGTAGCTATTCATAGGATAAGATGCAGATAAATCTTGTCTAAACAATATTAGTACAAATCTTCTCATTGAACTAAGAGAAAGGAGATGTATATCCATCCTATTTTGTCTATACATATTTTTTTTTCACTACAAAATGGTCCTTCATTTATATCCCTTTTTTTGTTTATTTTTTATTTATTTATTTATTTATTTATTTTT